CTCTTCCTCTGCCGATGACGTATCCTGATTCCTCACCTGTCTCGCCGGAAGAAATCGATCGCCGTCTTCAGTGTGATCCTCAAGTTGAGGTATTATTGCTTTCGTCTTCCATCTCCAGTTCATTTGTATATTCGTTGAATGGATAAGCTCTGGAATTGTTGTTTATTTATCCTTCATGTCAATCATTATCCGATAGATATCATCAAAATTCCAGCTAATTCCTTTGTGAAATTCATTTCCCAGATTTTGGGAATTGGTTTGAAGTAAAGGGTAATCAAAATCAAATCTTGAGAACTATGAAATATTTCTGTTGGATTGAGCGCAATGAACTTTGACTCAACGACAAGTAATGGTTCTCTTGATGATATGGGCATAGGGAATGCCGTGAGGTTTGATTTAATTTATCCGTCCATGGAGAATTATATTGCCATTGATCTTTTGAGCTTCTGTTTCCCCTTAGTGTTTTTTCAATGTACCTTGAATGATGGAGCTTTTGGTATATGACACGAGCTTCGAATCATTATGCTTTGTGATACTAAGATATTCAAGCAATATTCAGGACTGCCGAGAAGTGGTTTATGAATGGACTGGCAAGTGTAGAAGTTGCCAGGGATCTGGATTCGTCAGCTATTATAATAAAAGGGGGAAGGAGACTATTTGCAAATGCATACCCTGCCTTGGGATCGGTAAGATTTCTAGTTTATATCTCGCTCCTTGTTTCGAGCCTTGCGATGATCTTCATGATGCGGAATTCTATTGAATCCTAAGGTTTCATGGGATCTTTTAAATGCCTCTTTGACAGGACATGTTTTATTGTACGCATGCATGTGATTACTGACTAGACGATGCCCTCCAAAGCCTTGCTTTTGGTAGTAGATTTATATCACTATATCATTTGTGAGCATTGGTGGGAAAATCCATGTAACCTGGTATTCGACTGTTGGTTTAAGTTGAGAAGTAGAACTGCATATTCTGAACGAATAGCTTACGGTAATTTTGTGGCTATAGAGCTAACATTTTGATATGGCTAGAGGTTGCGAAAACAGCCTGCTTGATATGGCTATGGTCTTGGATCTGGCTGTTGATGTTAGAGCAAACCTGGTTTAGTTCTCCAAACACCCGTTCTAATCTCATGAAAGTTATGGATTTCATTAGCAGTTCTCCAAGCTCTAAAGCATGCGGAGAAAAAAAAAACAAGCTTTTTTTGTTACTTGGGTTTTTTTTTTCTGAATTTATTCAAGCGAATATGTACTTTAGCAGTTTTACCTAAGTGCAGGATATGTGCAGAAGATAACAGCTCGAAAGGACATCGAAGTGATGGAAGATCTGGATAATGGAAAACCTCCTTGACCTAGAATTTGCTCAGCCTTTTCTATTTCGGGTATATACTACTCCAACCCTGACCCTAAACATTTTCATCTTTCTAATGCATGAATATATGTGACCAGGAATATATATCTAATGTTTCGGTTTGGCTATATATATGTGCATGTGTGCGTGTATCTCTCTCTTTTGCCAGATACGCTCATAACTCTTGCGGCTCTTGTTGAATTTGGTTTGTTCCCAGGCCCCAAGTCATGACTGAGGAGAGATATACCCATTGGATGTAGGTAGAAGCAACTGATTCTTGTTAAGATAATGGCTACTCTTTTGTCACCTATTTCACTCTCTGTGGTATTTTGCTTGACTCCATGAGAATATAAAATTTCTTTTGTGGTTACAAGAAAATATTCGAAGTCGAATCTTGAGGAAATCTTTGGTCAGATTGTTTTCGACCTGATCATCTATTTGGCTGTGGAGAAGGGAAAAGTTAACACCAATCCATTCAGATCACTTCTTTTCATGTGTCATCTTTTAGGTTGTCTTACATTACATCTCTTTGAGAATCTTAGATTCAAGGGTGATTCAACAAGGAAAAGAATAAAGTGGTAAGGAGGGATCAAAACTTCTAAATTTCCTCGATGAACTTCTGTCTATTTCGATTTTGAGATCAACAAAAAACGGTTCTCCAATTTACAGATCAGCTGTTTGCACCTGCTATTTTGTGGGTCTTTTTCTTGTTCCTTCATTTGCCTGGCACTTTTAAGTACAAGTACTGTCATCTGTAAATACAGATGGATCAATCTCTATGCAAAATAATCGAAAGAATCGTAGATAAGAAGCTGAAGCCGGTGGTGATGCTCGCTGTATGTTTAGCCCCGGGTTCGGATTCTTGAAGACGAGATAAGGTTTACCCTACAAGACAGCCTCGTTCACCGTTTATCTGATTGAAGACATCAGACATGAAGTTGTCTGATATCCTCTGTTTCTGGTTCAAAAATTGAAACTCAAAGCCAAATGCCAACAGCAAGAAAAAAGAACGAGAAGTTCTTCCATTGCCTTTTTGTTTCTTGGTGAATCACCACAAATTCTGAGTTTTCCCTTTGGTTTTCCTTCTGGATTCCATCTGTAATTCTCGGTATAAAATCATGCTTCTCCACAGTAGTCAGTGTCATTTGGACCTTACTCTGTGTCTGAATGCGGAAATAAACTCATCTTCCTCACGAAATTGGAGATTTTCCAAGAATACAAGAAACAGGATCCACCTGTAGAGGAATCATGATGCATTCTCAAAATCTCTTTCTGAAATAGGAAGAGACATTATTGAAATCATGATTTAGATTGTAACCTCCTAAATATGATTCGGGACAATGTGCTTACTTCTTAGTGTTAAAAGAGCTTAGAAGTTCTTCAGTTGCCTCATCCAATTTTCCATCCTCGCAAAAACTATCAAGCATTACCGCGTAAATTATAAGATTAGGATCCACACCACTCTACATCTCTAAAAAGAGTTTCTGGGCGACAACACATTGCCCACACGTAAAAACCCTTAAATGATGTGTGTTGTAAGTAATCGAGTCGGGCCGACCTCGCTTGATCCCGTATTTTGGTCCGTAATTTTTCAGGTCGGACTGGTCCGGTCCGTAATTTTACGGATTTATTCGTGTCCGATAACGGCCCACCAGCTTTTTTCGACACCCTTATATTCGCCACATCATAAAAAGTTATCGTGTCACTAATTATGAAATTAAATATGGGGAAGAACATTGGAAAATAAACGACATTGTATAAGGGTTACTTGAAATTATGCTGAGGCGGTTTGGTCCTTTGACCCGCTGAGATCAGTTTTATTTGTTGGCCCAAGTTTAAAAAGAGGCTGTTTGATTCTTTGGTTTTTACAGCGAGAATCGCACTTTTTGATTAGGTGTGGTTATTTCGGGATTCGGATCGGAATTTTAGCGGTTCGGGTCGGAAACGGTTTATTTGATTTTCTAAAATTTATACCTAATTAGTACCGTATATTATTCGGTTCAGTTCGGTTTCGGTTTGGGTATAGTTCGGTTTCAGTTTTTGTTAAAAATTTTAGAAAAATTTTAAGAAAATTTCGGTTTTTCGGAAATTTTACAAAGTTCGCTTCGGTTCGATTATGGAAAATTCGATTCTATAAAAATTATACCATTCGGAAATTTTAAACGGTATGGCTCGGAAAAAACACTGAAATTTTTGGTTCGGTACGGTTCAGTTCTGAAGAACTAAATTGAAACGTTCACCCTACTTTTTTTTACAATTGTATATAATTCATATATTTTTTTGAATCATTTAAAAAGTTTATTTTTTTCACAATTGCATAAAGTTTTTATATTTTTTTTGGATCATTTAAAAAGTTCAGTATTTTTTTAAACTTATTTAAAAAGATTAATTTTTATTTGATAAAAATAAAAATTCGATGTTTTTCTGTCAAAATTATAAATTTCAGTAATTAGAATTATATAATTTCTATACGTTTATCTTATTACATTTCAAACATATTTTAAAAAAAAAATTCAGAGTAATTTCTCTTCTATTATAATTAACAAACAGAATTCTGTTAAAATAAACCAAAATAAAAGATTGAATGGTTATAGTTTTTATTTTAATTTTTTGGATTTATTTTTTAGATTTTGGATTTTAATTTTTGGTTTTTGATTTTTGTAATATTTATAAATCTAAAAAATATAACTTTTGATTTTTAATTGATTTTTCACTAAAATAGGTTGACTAGAATAGGTTTACAGGTTTTTTAAAATACTAGATTTAAAAAATCTTTATTGTCAATTGTTTTTGAATTTTAGATTTTTAAAATTCCAAAAACTTCATCCATTTAAATTAGTTTAAACAATTCTCCTTATTGAAAATAAAATATAAAATTTAAATAATAAAAAAACAAAAGAGAAAAAGAATAAATTTTTTTTGTTCGTATTACAATAAAAATAATCCATATATTTATAAAAAAATTATTAAACTAAATAAAAAATATAAAAAAATGTAAAAAGCCAATATTGAAATGATAATACAATAAAAGATTTTTGGACATTTTCATTGTGTTTGAAAAAAACACTGAATGATTTCAATTGAATTTAAAATTCTAATTTTAAATTTTTTTGTCATACTACTTCATTTGATTTTATAGTTGTAACCTTTTTTTTTTATCATAATACTTCATATGATTTTGGATTTTTTCTCTCATTTTACCGGGATATATAAAAAAATTAAAAAAAACATAAAAAATATTAAAATCAGATTATAAAGCTGTTTTGACCATATTAAAAAATAAAATTCAGAAATTAAATAAATAAGAATAAAAAAAGAACAAAATATTTTTTCACTACATCTTTTTTTTGTTCGTATAATATAAAATTATTATATAAAAAAATTTATCAAACTAAGTAAAAAAATTATAGTTAAATAAAAAATAAAATATATAATATTAAATTATTATCTTTAATCATATTTCAAAGTTTATATTATATTTCAATAACATATTTATTTTTCTATTTCAACCATCCTCTTCTCCGTGATAGATATGTAACATGAGTTTTCTAACAATAGAAATGATTTAAATGTTATGTCCAGTTAGACACATATGAATATTCACATTTGTAGGTATTCGGTCGATTATGTACACAAATTATTTTTATTAATATACATTTTAACTTATATAAAAAACATGAACCGACGGTTAATTAAATGTAGGGGCCTAATAACCTCGAAAAGAGGGAGGCAAATGTTGGGAGGACCATTCCTCAATTGAATTATGAAGTGGACCCAAAAATCACTCTTTTCTCATCAGCCAATCGGGAAAGAGACACGTGGCACTTTGTGGAGAACGGAAAGTTGCATCGGCCTTTGGTAACCCTCACGCGCATCACTCTTCGTGGCGCTCCATTGCCCGAGATGGCATCATGTGGACCCCACATCTTTAATTCAGTGGAAATTTCGATTTTTAGATATGCAAAATCAAATCGAACCGAGACAAATAAATGAACGATGATAATAATCCATATCTGAAATGTTACAGTGGCGGACCCATAACCAATTATAATTGGGGGGCAATTTAATTTTATCATGTGTTAAATTTAATTTTATCGGGATTATTCAACCATTTAAACTAAAATTTACGTATTTTATAAAGAAATTAATTTTTTTAATTAAATAAGTAGGGCCCATGACCCCATCCAAATCAATGTAGGTCCCCCCTACATCAATAATAAATTTGGTTTACCATAAAAAAAAATCTTAAATATAGTGACTGCAAAAGAAGATAAAAGGAGGGTTTCATTTGAGGTTGGGATTACAATTAGACATTATTATAAATATAATACACGACATATGTAATGATATTATATGATCTAAAAACATAATATTTTACGCATGTCCATAGTAGAAAGAAATCTAAGGGGATCGCTCCCAAAATCTGGCAGGAAGGCCCTGTTGAGGGACCGGAAATGGACCGTATTGGATCCCATCTTCTGCTCCCACCACTTCCCATCTGCAAAAGCAAAGCAAAAAGAGAGATCCATCATTTACACATGCTCCTGCATATACATACACATATATATACACGCTTGCACTTGCATAATGTCCTCAAGTTTGTTTCCGATCCCAACAATATCTATAGTTTTATCATCTAATAAAACGGGTCCACGTCACATAAATGAAATTTTCAAGAACATGGATGGTGGGCCAGTTGTTTAGATCAAGAGATTGAGAATATGATATGATTTTATCATGATTATCCTCTATATGTATATAGGTACAATCATGATAAAATCATGTTGAGTAACTTACCGGAACTTGGTTACCAAATGATGAAGGAAGATCAAGATCTGTAACTTGGCGAGCTCATTGCCCGGGCAAGAATGCACACCGCTACCGAATGGCAGGAACGTACTCGGCTTTGGATGGACCTTTCACATATCATACCATATCGTATCGAGTTTTAATTAGTCGAGAAAAACGATATTTTGTTCGAGCTGTGTTTCTAACCTCGAATCTAGATGGATCGAGAATTTCCGGATTTGGAAAATATTCTGGATTGTGATGAATATTCCGAAACAATGGCATTACTTTCCATCCTTTCGGTATCAGATATCCTGCATGTATGTATTGTATGTGTTACAACGTCATTATAGTGTTAGTGATATATATGGACCACCAACATTTGCAAGATTTCAATAAAAAAAATGTTATAATGAAAATGAAATAAAATACCCTTGTATTCAACGTCAACCACTGCTTCTCTAAAGGTGAAGGATATGATGCTCGCCATTCTCAAGCTCTCAAGTATAACCTAATCAACACACACAAACAATAACAAGAATGAAAATTATATATGTATATATATGAATTTGATAAGTTATATGCAAATGTTCTTATGAAAACAGATCTTGATTCATACGAAAACGTATGTATACATACCCTATGTGCCAGTGGCATATCCCTAGTTTGTGCCCATGTTAATGGCTTCTTCCCTCTACCATTTTCTTCATATATAGCCATTTGCTCCGCCTGAATCCACCACAAATAATGTAAATTCCCCCGGTAAAAACGTACGTGTATATATAAACATATGTATGTATGTGTGTGTGGATAATCACCTTAACAGCTTCTAGAAGCTTCTTGTCATCATGCAAGAACTTAATGATCCATGTCAAGACACTGGCCGTTGTGTCTTGTGCAGCGAATAGCACTCCGATGATGTTATCTGCGATCTGTTCTTGGCTCAAAACATGCCCTTTCTCACCCTTGAAGCTGAGTAGATTTCCAAGAAGGTCTCGTTCCGCGAGCCTCTTCTCTTTTCTTTCACGTATGATCTTGCTCACGACCGTGTTTAACCGTTTCCTCGCCTGAAAACGTACGTACCCTTTTGATTGGCCACTCTTCAGAGTGATTATAAGAGGGTTTTTGCTTCGAAACACAAAATGGACTGTTTGGTTAATTACCATGAGGGCTTTGTAATAAGCGGTCCCGGGGAAACTTGCTGGGAAACAATTGTATCCTTTGTCCACGGTGTTGTAGCTCTCTCTCAGCATTTCTCTATAACAACCCTCCAAGTGACCAAAAATGACTAAGATACCAACGTCGAAAGCAAACTGCACAAGGCCATGTAGATGACCAAAGCTTGTCAATAACCCGAAACTTAAACAAATTCGGAAATAACGAAAAAAACACATAATAATGAAACGAAAAGGGCAGCGGAGTCATTTCATTGCTTCTATTGAGCAACACATATGCAATGATTTTGCAACAAAACGAGTTTACCTTCTTCATCTCTTGGAAGGTGGTGACTACCCGCAAGTCGTCATCAGCCCAAGATTGCAAAGAATACAGAACAATGTGTTCGATATAGGGAATGAGTCTACGGATGGTTTCCGGGTACAAAGAGGATTGAACAAGCTTCCTTATGTGGAAATGGTACTCTCCTTGGTGAAAGAACAACGCAGAAGGGCCTATCAGCTTCTCTTTGCTCCTCGGGTATGTTGGCTTGAAGAGATGAGCGTGTGTCTGCAAGACAAATCTCGCAGCCTCCGGGCTCGACAACATCACGCAAGGGCAACCTAGTATACGCGTCTTGAATATCTCCCCGTACCTACAAGGAATCCGCCGTGAGGTTTTCACAAGCAAAGGGGTGAAACGTGGGGGTCATGACCTAACTTGAGAGGCAAGCTATAAGTTTACCTTTCTTGCTTGGAGGAAAAGAAAACGTTAGGATTTTGGGAATAGAGTTGAAGGGTTTCTCCAATGTAAGGCCATCCCATGGAACCCGGAGGAAGTTTACATCTCTTCGTATTCTTCTTCTTGTTGCTCCTCTTCTTCTTCGGAACAAGGAGACATAGTAATGCCATGAAGCAGATGAGAATATACACTACGAGTAACCAAACCGCCATAACACAAACAGAAAGCAGAACACAAGCAGAAGATATGTTTACATAACACGAACAGAGTGAGACAGAGAAAGAGGAAGAGGCTGCTCTGTGTGTATATATAGAGGCGCCGAATATTATAATTAAATTTGGATAGAGACAAAAATGGGAATATTTCGATTTTCTTTTTTAAATAAAAATATTATTCGCCAAATGTAACGTGAGGAGTTGTCTATATTTCAACAATTTCGGTAGGGAAGAAAAGCATAAATCTAAATAAAGATCTTATCGATTTATATTTGTTATAAAGAACGATATGGACAACTTTTTATTTTTATTTTTAGTTTATGTAATTTTTTATTTATACGAATATTTATTTTGTAGAAGAGGGTGCTAGAACTTGCGATTCTACGTATTTTTTTTCCACTCACGTCGCCTTTGTTTCCATGGTATGAACAGTGTAATTAGCAACAAGGTTCGGTCTTTAATCACGCGCGTAATTTAATTTTAGACGATGTAAATCAGACAAAAATAATTTAATGCAATTTTTTTTCTAAATAAACGGTTCACTGGGTTTTAAATAGATACTAAATTGTTGTTAAGATAAAATTTTATTAAATGATATTTTAATAATTGGGCATTCTAATTTGGTGTATAAGACGGAATCAAAACGAATTGGCGTACTAAATGATCCATTAACAATTTAGGTGTTATAATCTGAAAATAATTTTAAAAATTACATGGGAATAAAAATATTTTTGAAAATATTTTTTTTAAATAAATAGAATCTAAACCCAATCCAATTTTAAAGGAATGGAAATTCGATACAAGAATATCAATACATTTTTTTTTCAATCTAAATAAATAAATCAATTCTCAAACTATCAATCTATATATAAAATTAAATCTCCAAATCGGTATAGATTTTGGCTCAACATATTTAATTATCTAAAGCAATGAAAAGGTATGTATTTATTTGTTTGTTTGTTATGCATTGTATTTGTTGCACACTTTTTAAAATTATATTCATTAATATATTTACAAATCTTTTTTCGAAAGAAAAAAACTTTATGGAGTCATAAAAAAGATTTAAACGAGGAGAAAAATCAAAATTATTTTATTATTTTAATCGTGGGGAGAGATGGAAATTTATGTCTTGATCTTGAGTTGTAATTTTTGTGACCACATGTCATATTTTCATCTTACATGGTCACAAAAATAAAAACAAATAAAAAATAAATATGGCACATACACTTGAAAAATACGTCATTTTTACGAACGGAGAAAGCAATTCATAATTGAATTACTTGATTTTTGATAGCTCTAATAGTGTTGATGGATTTAATAAATTTTTCATGTGATTCAGATTTATATGTATTACATATATATATATATTCGTAAATGATATAATATAAATCGGGTTTTTCCTTTGTTCGATGGGGAAGAAATAACATTTTAGAAAAGTGTTCTATATGCCTAGAAGATCATATATGAGTTCATCTATTATTTTTTTTATTTATCGATTATGTTATTTTTGTTTTCTTTCTCGTAGTATCAAGACCCATTATCTAACATACTCGTAGAACGAATTAGGTTGGTATACATATGCGTATACAATTTTGGTTCTTGACAAAGTGTATAAAAAATAATACTTATTTGCAAAGTGTATTAAAAAAATCATATTTATAAATTATATTTTTTTAAATACTAAGAATACCCTTGTTGATCAATATTTGTAATTATTGAAGAAGTTGAAAAAGCACTGTTATAACAAGATAAAAATAATAATTTCCATTTCACTATCTATTCAAAAACTCGAGCTCTCGAATTGGCGAAACTTCAATTTTAAACGGAAACCCACTTTCTTAAATCTTTCACATTTCCTCGGAAACAATTTAGTAAAGGTAATTATATTATGTTCTTCCTATTTTTTTTTTTGTCTTTTTTGTTAATTTGGAAGTTCATCGGACCTTCAATCTAATTAATCTCTCAATGTTTAGAGATAAGTTGTGTACCATAATTAAATTGTACATATCCTCTTCAACCGTTATTCGAACATGGGACCTTGGATAAAGGCATCCCTACCCTTCGCAAATCAACTATACCACTCGGTCACCACAGATTAGATTATTGTGTTTGTTCATTATTCAAGCAAAATAGTTTGTTTTTTTTTGTCGTAGTATTTTAATTGTTAATTTTCTTTGTTTCATTTTGTTATTTTTATTTGTAGTTTGTCATTATGTTGTTGTGTTCATCTTCATGGACGGTTTTGTCATCGTCTCAGACAAGAATTGATAACATATAAAATCTGCAATATTTTGATAAGTTTGTTTAGCGTTTTTTTAATCGTTTTTACATTATCCATAAGTATTCTAGATATTGTTAAGTTTTATTTTGGATGGTTTCCTTCATTTGGTGTTTAAAAATGTATTTATGGATAAATGAGAGCTAAAGGAGTAAAAACATGGATTCTGAAACTACTTGGACGAAACAATGACATTTGAGGTCATTTCGGAAAAAATTGAAGAATTCAGTCGAGCTACATTGAACTCAGTCGAATTGAGATTGTGAAGAAAGAAGAGAAAAAGTTACAGAAGTTTTCCTCGAGATAAGTCACAAATATGTTGAGAAAACTTTCTTAAAGAGATGTAGCTCGGGTCGAGTTGTTACATAATTCAGTCGAGGCGTGTTCCGGAGAAACTTTCTATTCACATTTCTTTTTTGATGAAATGTAAATTATATTCAAAAGAGGGGGTGTTACAATCAGTTATAACTAATACAAAATGGATAGGAATCCCATGGCAAGTGGTGAGAACCCAAAATAATATAGTCTAACACTGAAACATAACAAATTAGCAATTAGCCTGTGATGTAGTACCAATCTTCAAGGTGGTCATTCCTTACGACGTCTCGGTGAGCGGAGATGTTCAGTAGTTTTGCTTGTATTGAGTAATCGACATCGTTTGGAGGAGCAGTTTTGCAATAGTGGTCATATTCCTTAACTTGTCAGTGTCTGTGTTCAGAATCCAGATGAGATAATCCTACAAGGTCGTCGGGGAGATGATCAAATCTTTACCGTGATAACCCAAGATATCGTAGGAGGGCGGAGAGTGATCGCCGATGCGAGAGGCACGGACAAGGAGCGGCTCCTGACGAGCTTCTGTGTAGGTATGGGACTACACAATCAAAGATAACTTAAAAAAATTAATTGAGCTACTCATAGCAACAAGATGTAGGGAGGCGTGATATCTCGTATTTGGAGTCCCCACTGCCAGAGCGGATCATGTGTAGGGAGGTGTTGGTGGAAGCCCTGCCATTGGAGGAAGGAGCGGCTTGGCGTGTTGTACTTAAACAACACAAGCTTGAACCGTCGCCAGGTTACCTCTCTGATAGGGGGATATATCTGAACTACCCTTTGACTACTTCACAGACTCTCTCTATACCCTCCAAAATATGAATTAAAAAAAGTGCAGTATAATGTAAAAGACATTTAGATCTTAGTAAAATATGGAAAGACAAAATAACCCTCCTTTTAATTTAAAAAATTGACAAAAAAACGTCATTTCTCTCTCATCTCTCCTAGTAAACCCACGATCTCCATCTCTCTCTTTAACTTTCGAAATCTTCCTCTCTCTTTTAACTCCGAAATCTCCCTCTCGCTATCTGTTTTTTCCAGGATTTAAGTCCCGATTCTGTGAAGAAACTACTACGATTCTCTGTTTTGAACTCTCCTGCGATTCTAAGAAGAAGTGACGCCGAAAATCTGAGAAAATGGCTTCTACATCAGCCTAACATTCATCTTCGTCGGCATCTTCAAACGAGACCGAGAACCGAATGCAAATTACGGAGTTAAACGATCACATGGTAGGTTACTTCTCTTTTTCTCAAATTTGCTGGATTTTAAAAGTTTTTGATGTTGCCTTGAATTTTTGCCGTGAGTATTTGAGAGGATAGAAATTTAGGGTTTTGTTTTTGAAATTTTAGGGATATCAAAATAGAATGTTGGGTTTGAAATGGTTAAAATCGAATTGATTTGAGTGACATAAATGTATAAGTCAATGTTTGGATGATGAATGATATGTTGATTTGGGTAACAGTCATATAGGTGATATAGGATTCGATGTAAATTAGGTCACATAATTGTATGGTGATAAGGTGAAAAGGTCACAGGGTGATTTAATTAGGTCATGTGGTAACAAGTCACAAAGTGATTTAATTGACATGGTCATAGGTCACATGATCAGTTCGGTCACATGGTCACATGTCACAGGATAATAGATCACATAGTACCAGGACAATAGGTCACATGGTACCATGTCACATGGTCACAGGTCACAGAACAATAGGTCGCATGGTCACAGATGGCTTAGTCATAGGTCACATGGTCACAAGTATTTGAAGCTTTTGTCATCCGTGTCTAACTCAAGACTTACAATTATTCCAGAATTTCTCTTCTGCAATATGTGCAACCATCCAGGAAGCTTCCTAAAGCGCAAGATCACATCGAATCTCACTTTCAGCTTTATGCTTCCATGGTAACGCCGTTAAATATGTTACGATTGTGTCATACTTCGCTTTTAAACGGTCTATTATTTCATGTGCAGAAGGAGTGCTATCAAGTTTGTCGGAAAATTCTTCCTTCAAATAATCTTTAACCAATTTCTTTGTACCCCTCATACTTTCGCTTGATTCTGAAACAGGTTTGCAACTGTGAATAAGATTGTGTTTTCTTACACTCCAACGTTTCGAGTTTAAGATCAATGTCGTACGCAATCTCCAATTACAACCGATTCCGGCAAATTTGCATCTTATTTTCTATAACTTCTTACCAGACCTCAGCATAGTATACCTAAAACGAGCCATAGCTGCACCCTTTCGAACATATTCTTGCGCTGCTTCCTTATTGTCAAAGTCATGACCAATTCTTAGATTTAATCCATAACTGAAAGTGAATACAAAATCAGAAAACAAAGAGTCCTCTACAAGCTGAAACTCCAAATCATCATCATCATCATCATCATGATAGCCATCACACTCTGTCACTATAACTTCTCTAAGTCCACTTGAATGTTCACTGTCAGAAAGATGTATAACTTATGAAACATTATTACTCCCAACTCTTAATATATTTGAAATCGAGAGATCGATAGGCTAAATTTGTAGGAAGTTAAGTGAGAGAGAGTGAACTTATCATCAGCAGGAATTACAGCATCTTTTTCAACGTTGTGTTCACCATCAATTTTTATACGTAACTCTCATATCTCCACATAAAGCATACCTCGCATTCCATTTATTTTATCCAACAGATAAATATGAACGTACTTGTCATTCCATACGTAAGTCGACTTTATTTTTTCTTTGACATTTGGCAAATAACTCAACTTGATCTTCGTTTTATCTTTCTCCACCTTCATCTCAGTACATAACTTGATGGATATAGTGCTCTGGCTACGATCGGTTTGCGAAACTGATTAGAAATCCATTTGATGGGTTTAGGTGGCCCAATAGACCCATATGTTTATTAATAAGGCTAATCAGGCTAATATCTCTTAATGGTTAAGAGAAAACCCACCGGCGATCACTCTCCACCCTCCTACAATACCCCGGGCTGTCACAGATCCACTCAGCTTTCAAGCATCGACCAAACGAGATGCTATGCTGATCAATCAAGGCGATCCTTGGAGTATTTGATGAGACAATAACGTTGTTGGCCTTTCCAATGTCTTTAATGGATGCAACCATGACTCACATTCACTCTATTGTACGATTTGATTCATACATGAGATCGACTACGTGAGAAGTTCATACAACACTTCTTCTCCCTAAACAAGACTCAGAGAGAAAAATAACATACCAATGCCTTCATTTAGGAAGTTGATGATTATATATGAAGCTTAGGAGCACTTTAGGGAATATGAGGACAAAATACATGTTGATGGAGAACCTAAATCACCTAAAAAAAGCTTAGAAGATGCTGAGCAAAAAGCTGTACACAAGAATAAAGAAAAAGATATTCATACCAAGAGCCAAAACCACGAAGGCAAAGGACCTCAAGTAAGAGACATCACACTCATCCACACTCATCTTTCATCCGAGCGTACAAACGAATTTGATCATTCCTTTAACATGGTTTTCTAAGTGTTTTTGAATAGAAAACGAAAGCAATATTCATTAATAATCATTATGTAGAGAAGACGAGCGAAAATGTTATGGAACCTTTGTAATACTTAATTTTCTAGTAAAACAAACATAATACATAGACGAACATAGGCAATCATCCAAGCACAACAAACTCTCCAAAGGGAAGATGAAGTTGGCTATGAGTTTCGACAACTCTAGTCTCAGTATTCCACCTCTCTCGTTTATTTCATTTTATCTCGATACAATTAAATTATGTTCTATGAAGAAAAATAAAATATGCATATTAGGAATAGTTTTACGATGATGTACGATACATTTGAAATTTATGATAAACACCTAATATACCTTTAGACACGATATTAAGACTTATATTTTTGTTGCTATTTGCAATGAAAAATTACCTAACAAAGTTTAAACCAAAATTACTTCAAAATAGAATGCTAAGGTTTCCATATGTTCGTTAACATTCTCTTAGAGATGATATAAGACCAATACAATCACAAAGACTTTCGCCATTCATGATTAGCCTCTCATCATTTCTCCACGCTAATCTTGAGGGGAATGTTGGGATTGAACCTACATAAGAAGAAAGCTTAGCTCCAGTGTGCTCGGATGCAATAATTTGGAACCAAGGATGAGCATACTCAAGACAATTTGGACAAAGGACCTGGAATCATGGAGCTGCTAATGCATGGAAAATACTAAATAATCCAAGTCCACTCGAAACCCCTGATCAAAATAAAGCCTTGATTCTTGGCATACATGTGACCGTTTCAAGGTAATAAATTAGTCGACTCTCTTCAATCAACATCAGGTCAAATGTTAGAGTAAATGAAACAATGGATAACAAAAACATATGTATGTGATACGACTATATATTTTCAATCTCGTAACTCGTATCATACAAAATCCACGTATGACTTCAAAACGTGTAACCATTTCTATAAAAGCGTTATTCCATTCATATCACATAAATAAAATTATAGAAATACGTTTTGGAAATGCAATGAATTATCAATAATTTCGGTTTATCCTGCCGAGAATAATCTATATAAAAACTTGTGTTAAAAAAAAGATATAGTAAACCCTCTAATAAAAATATATGTAAAAACACTTGAATCTCTCATGTGTTTAAAACTTGACTTTCATGTATGAAACTGTCAAATTCCTGCAATTTTCTAGTCCCAATAATACATAATCCATTATCAAACGTTCAAGAACCAAAACATCGAGAACCATCTACAAGCAGGAGAATGAGATTTTGATGTATACACTTCCAGTTCTCTACCTTGCATGTCATTGCCTTTGTGTTTGACAACCTGTGTTTAAATCTAACCAGTTTTGTTTTACAAGAATCTCTAACTAGACGAAGATCACTTCGAATTTGGCGCAAGGGTTTCTCTCTATGTAAGTCCTGAAACCCGAGTCCCCCTCGAATCTGAAGTTATACAACGCTTGTCTTTGAGTGAGGCCGAGAGGGTATATACGGTAAATTCTGAGTTCGTCTTCTCCTCTCAAGCTTCTAGGCCTCTCTTTCCTCCACACTGGTTCGTGATTCCGAGACTTGAATTTCGTAAGAACCTCTGATTCCAGAGCTTCTTCAGTCAGATTTCCGCCCCTGCCCATCACCGAATGTATTGTAAGTTCGAAAAGTTTTGCTAATACTAAAAACGATTCCTTATAAAATGGATAAAGAATGTGCGTGTGTTTGCTATTCCTGTTCACGAATCATATCACAGTGACAAGACACACTTTGCAGTTCTACTTCTTTGTGCTCTTCATGTAACAACTGTTAAAACACAAGTATACAAACATTATTGGCTCCGGGTACCGAGTTTGAATCATTGAACCACTTATGCAGGGCTGGGCACAAAAACCTGAAGTTCAGGTACCGACCCACGTGGTATCCGATGATATCAGATTATAATCTAAAAAAAACCCAAAAATTGTGTTTGGATTCGGGTAATCGGGTCCGAGATCGGTATTATCTGTGAGTATCCGAATGAATAGTAAAGTGTCAATTTTTATCCTAAATTTGCAATATATTACATACAAATCTACTAAAATCTCTTGAAATTTTGGGTTCGACTACAGACAACCCAAAAGTCTTGGGTACAGACCCTAGTCTCTTAAAATATGTATATATTTTTTTAAAAACTCTAAATTTTGTATTCAAACTCGGGTTTGGTTATCTGCAAGTATCCAAAAATAATCTCACATACCCGACCAAAAAAGATCCAAAATCGGTAATATCTCATGAGACCCGAGACATTTCAATTCATGTTCAAATAACCCAAAAATCTTGGATACTCGACACATACCCATCCCTACTTACGGGTAGGGACCTGTGGAATATTCCAAAAATTTTGAGCCCAAAACTGCGAATCTCTCGATCACGAGAAAGTGAATCGAATCGCATAAAAGTTAAGTTCATAGGAAGATAGACAGACGTTGTAGTAAGTGACCAAACCACTCTCATGTGTCCAAAAAGAGGGGAAGGGCAAAGCTTACCTCAAAAAGATGGATTCCATCTCGAACCGCCCCCTTTCTCTAACGTACAAATGATAAACTGTATCTGAACCTCTGGTGCACCTGCAAGCTCGTTTCTTGAACTTAGGGCTCTTCTCTTCTTCTTGTTCCCGGATTTTCGTTGCCAAGAAAATGCAGAGACGGCAAGAAGAGTGTACAGCCGCCATATCAACTAACGCCTTGAAAGAATCTGAAGGACCCTCGTATTTCCACCTAATCAAAATACAACAAGAAACTTTTGAAATGTCTACCAAACATAACTACTTGTAAAGATAAATCATATATCATAAAATTTTGGAGAGTGTTTCCAGTTCGGTGGGATAAGAATCCTGTAAGGCGAAACTTGAAAGCTGTCTGAAGACTCTTAAAACTTGAAAGTTGTCTGAAGAAAGAAAGAAAGAAAGAACAGATAAACCAGATTTCGGTCCATTCCTCTTCATTGTCTTAAAACTCACAAACTAAGCACAATGAGTTTTGGGTTCAGGGTTAATGTCTAAAATTACGGAAAGCAATGGACAGAATGTACCTTCCTTGCAAACAATTTCCGTTTGAGAATTCTGTACCTTAGTGTCTGATTATAGGCTTCAGGGTTATTTGCAAGATATTTCATTCTCTTTGCAACCGATTCAACATCTTCCATGCTCTTAATGTGCAGAATTGAACCAGGGGCCGGAGCAAATTCTTCTATGTTCGGGGCACCAACAACCACCGGAACTGATCCTATAAGAAAAAGATAACAAATTGCTCGTTATAAATAGAAAATGGGGCACCCTCATTATTCTCGAGTCCTGGAAGCAGCCTCTTGCACAATATCTGCAAGGTAAGGTTTGCCTACAATACACCCTTGTGGTGGGACCCTTCCCCGAACCCCACTCAACGGGGACGCTTTGTGCACCGGGCTGCCCTTTTCATGTATACACTGAAATAAACTCCGAGACCCTTATTTCAGAAATTGACATGAGACGTGATAAGATCATGCAGGATAATCGACAATAAGGTACTTCCTTTTATCGAAAAATATGAAAATCCAGGAGGAAAAGTGTTTTCCCTCGGGAGAAAAAATGGGATTATTCGTATCAATGTGTTTGTATTTTTCCCATACATTGGTCATTATTTCTACGGTATTACAGTTTCCTTCCTCCTAGAGTCTAGGATGCTAATGGGCACGAGAACCTGAATTTCGAGTATTCCGCCTGACCCACGAGTCGGGCACTCGTCCATTGACAGATGAGTACATGTCTATTGACAACAAAAACCAGACTTTCGAGTTGGGGTTTCGACCAGCGATTGCCCATGCTCGTGGATAATCCGAAACGAATAAGCGATGGAGTGAAGGTGAGGTGAGAGGGCGAGGCAAAGCCACGAGGGGGTGAAAATCAAGGCTCGAGGACTGAAGGCGAAGGAGGTGGTGAGAGGGTTGAGGGCGAGGAAAGTGGCCTAAAGAGTAGGTTTTCTCTTAAATGAAGATAAGATATTTCACAAGAGCCGAAATGGCTTAATGCGATGGATGTGGCAATTGAGGTATTCAGATCTGCCCTTGTCTTGGCTCGCCTCGTCCCTCACATTTGCCTTCATCAGTCGGATACCCCGTGGATACCCAAAATCCAGGTACACAACCATTACAAAACCGAGAACAAGTAATCAAACCAAAAAAAACCCGAGGCCAAGATTGGGTACTCCGACAAAGTCGGATACCCAAGAGTCATTGGCATTTGGCACACCTTCACATAGATGAAAATTTGCATGTGGTCTCAAGTTGTGGTTCTATAGCCAAACATTGTGAAACATTTCTATTCACTATCAATTAACAGAAACAATCAGGAAAAGATCAAAACACGGGTATTTTGCAGAGTGGTGAAAATTGAACTGAACACATGAGAGATACTCGAACTGAGAAAAGTAATGTAAGAAGCTGATTAAGCAATTCACATAAAATTCTCAGGAAATTCTACCGGTAGACCCTGGAACCTTATTGTAAATGAAGCAACCATTAAGAATTTGAGAGAGAGTACCGGCGACAAGAGATTGGAAGAACTTCTCAGTCACATAATCCTCTTCGTTCGAATTCTCAAAAGCCAAACTGAATTTGTAGCGCTTTAGAGCTTCAACCTTGTCAACTGCATGAATTGAAGTATCAAACAGAATCACATATCTTTGCTTGCAAGATTTCCATCTCTGTATGAATAACTATACTAACTGACAGGAGAATCTCTCGGTGCCTAATTGGATATGCAAGCTCTCCTTTTATTAGGGAGAGTCACTGCCTAGATGGCAACAAAAGTTCGACGTGGGATTCAGGCAATATGAACTACCAACTGGTCCTATCACACTTATTTCCTAATTTCCCAAAACCTAATTAAATTAAAAAAAAAACCATAAACTAATAAAAGCCAAAACCCCTAATTTATAAAAATACCTCTTCCATCCCTGTTCCGGTGACAACCACCATATGAATCAATCTTGACGTCTGCCTTCATTAGACCTTCAAGAACTTGCAGTCGGAAATTCCGAGCTCCACAATTCGAGATAAAAGCAGCTGCAAGGGCTTTCTCGGTCTTTGGTTGAGGTGGAGCCAAAATATCATATTCAGCCCACGAAAAATACCCAACAGGAACATCTGATGATAGACTAGTGGTCATAACTATGTCATATCCCCTCCTAATGGACAGTGTAATAAAATGTGAGATACCTGGTAATTATAGGGTTGAAGACATTGAGAAAGAAACACTACTGAAACGAGACATAAATATGATTTTTTAGCATTCAATAATGTCTAGCAAAAACATATCAGTCCCATCTTGATTGTGCTTACCCACCGTCGTGCCTGAGCAAGATCATTCTCTTGGTAGTATTGCGCTGATTCCATGGAACGGATTATACTGAGTGTTCCAGGTTTATGGCCTAATCCAAAAGCAGCATCAGGTTTCTTGTCTGAATTCAACCCAAATGTACAATCAACAGAACAAATCTGAAAATCCTACAATGTAGAAAATGAAGACAACAAGTCACACAAAAGTTAAAAAAAAATGGAAACCAAGAAGCTTCACTATACTTTTTGATAAAGAAATCAGAGTAAAACTCTTACCGAGCAAACTAAGACGAGAGCGAAGGCATATTAAACATGTAATGGAGCATATATGGTAAGATCACAGCAAATGCTACCAAACTTTACAAACTCAGGCAAAAACGACATGGAATGATCAACCCACGTCTCTGAACTGTAAGATCACGTCCAACAACCAAAAATCTTTTTCTTTACAAATCCAAAAACTCCAACTTGAGGTTAAACCAAAAAGCACATTCAGTATCTGGTAAGAGTGTTATCTCAAGGACAAACATTTCAGACATGCTCCAGGAAGGTAAAGCATTATGTATCAAGATAATCTTTGATGGATTTAAGTACTTTTTCAGGGAAAGGTGGTACCTACAACCTATCAATATCATTTTGGAGGAGCAACAATGTGATTTCTCTGCTTCCACTGGCTCTTACTAGTAGAAAACAACTCCAAGATAGCATTTTGATCCACTCTTAAGACATCATGGAACAAGATGAATCTCATATGCTTGAAGGAAAGTAAATCGGACACCATGAATGGAAAGGGCGGTATCAAACCCATAAATGTACATTTCACTAGATCAATAAGGATAAAACTCATTAGCTTCTGTCTACTGCCATGATTATTCACACACAAGCTTATCAGTCAAAAACCAAGAACCTTACATTTATGGTCATGCATAATCGTTATACATAATACATCCGACAAAACGCTATCGACCACATGAGGAACTTCAACCCAGAAAAACATGATGAAATACAAGATTACCCATCTCAATACATACTTGATTCGAGCAATGAATACAATCCCAATTCCAGAGAGAAACTAGAATTTTCAATGATGATAACAAACATATATCTGTTGAGTTAGGAAATCAAAACTTATGGTGAAGAAATCTGTGACAAACCTTTTCACCACCAGAGATGAAGACGGGATCTTTAGTAAAATCCCTAGAATAAACTAACGAATCCTCTCTCTCCAACCACTCCTCACAGCTCTCCGATACGATCCCGATCTTCATGTCTGACCGTTTCGACGATGGAACTCTCGAGACCGAGAAGAAATCCGTCAAAGTATCGATGAGAGCAGCGTTATTGAGCCGACCCAGAAACCCAATCTCGATTATAACCACCAAAGCCACACAGATTGGCAACAAGCTCGACAATTTCCGCTTCACAGATGAAGAAGAAGATGATGATGACGAAGAAGCAGAGCCATCGGTCATTGTTAATCCATCATGGACTGATCCAATTCTAGGTCCGCGAAGATTCGAGATTACACCCATGAAAGGAAACGAAAAATCTCAGCTTTTTGGGTTGTGTTTCTGCCAGGGAAAATTTCTGTCAGTGTGATGGAACAAAAATTTGGGTGTGTTGGGTTTTAGGTATGATGAGAATGCAGGATGACAAACAGACTTTGCTAATGGTTTCCAAAAACTTAGCTTCAAAGACACAACAATGTGGAAGTTTCCGGTCGTCGCATGAATCATAGCATAAGATCCCTCATCGTATCTTATCGTAAATGTCTTTTTATTTGGAGCATTGACCGGAGAGTAATTCTAAGTTCTGACTAGGCTAGTGATTTAGGTTTTTAATTCGGAGTGGTTTTTGATTTTCCGGTTTTGAAAAGTTATATTCATTCAATTTAGTTCGAATTCGGATTCAATTTTGGAAAAATCTATATATATTCAATTTATATATATATATATAAACAAAAATTACATGATATTTTTATTCGAAACGGTTCAATTCAATTATGCATAACCAAATCGAAATATCGCCCTTAAATCCACGGTACGTCTCCAAATAATTCTAGAAAAATGGCCATTCGATTAAAAAAAATGATATAGATGACAATGTGTATAATTATAAGGTGTGATTGGATGCGAAAGGTTTTTTATGATTACTTATGATGAAACATTTTTTATCAGTTGTGATGGTTAAGTCCATTTAGATTTTGTTTATCATGTCTACATATTATGAATATGAGATATAACAAAAGGATGTCAAGATTGTATTTTTTTAATAGAAATCTTCTCGATGATGTGCATATGATTCAATTCGAGAGTTTTATCGATTCAAATAATTCTAAATAAGGTGTAGAAGATTCAAAGATCCATTTATGAATTGAAGTAGGTTTCAAAGAATTAGAAAATTCGATTTGATAACACGGTTAAATAATTTGGTTTTTATCAAAATGGAGATGAACCATGTGATTACAAGAAGATGAGTGAGAGCGTGATTGTTTTCTTTGTATTGTACATAGATAATATATTACTCAATAAGGAGAATAGAAATGTCATGAACAGTGATGATATGTATAGGTTCTTATATTTTTACGTAGTATATCTATCGCATTTCACAATATTTATATATTTATAGATATTATTTCTACATTTTATACTTCGACTTCGATGTTTTCGATGTTTTGCAGAGGAGGTGAGTTATGGACATAAATAAGGTGTTTTAGGAAATCAGGCTATACGGAGAGAGAGCGGAAACAATATGAGGCACTTAGAACAGAAAATGGAATATTTGGCCAAGTTTGACTCATGATCGGTCAATCTTGGAGACATTATCGATCGATCGTGATATCGGGAGATAGCTGAATATGCTTAAAAAGTATGATCGGTTGATCATCAAGCACGATAGATCAATCATCACAAGAAAACATAGTTTTCCTTGATTGATGTTACTCACGAAAAGATGATAAGAACAACCACTCTCTGCAACACTTTAGAAGAGGCACGAAGGGGCATATAATAAAAGGGGACTTATGCATCATTTGAGAGAGAGTTAGAGAGCATTTGATAATGATTTTTGAAGAAATCCAAGGAGAATTCAAGGAGACAAGGAGGAAAGAAGGAAGATGAGGAAGACCAAGCTGCAAAACCATTTAGAATTGTCTTCTCCCTATCTCTATTTTCATCATGAACACTTGTTGGTTGATTGTTGTTTTGATTTCTATGATGTGTGAGTACAATTTTTATTGTAGGTTAGAGATTTAAGTTATGTTAGGATTCATGTGTGTTTAACTATCGTTGCAACTATGAGTTTGATGATTTAGATTGAATGAATGGTGTTTAATGCAATTAATCATGCTGGCAACTTGATTGGTTGATGATAGAGTTTGATTCACATAGAGATGAAATTAAACTTGGAAAACTTTCATTTGAATTGATGATCATTATATTGAGAAATAAATGAATATCCAGAAATTATGATATTGAATTTAATGCTTTTAAGAGTCTTAATATATTTGAAATCGAGAGATCGATAGGCTAAATTTGTAGGAAGTTAAGTGAGAGAGAGTGAACTTCTCTAAAAGGTTTTGAATTCCCCGAACCAAATCTATAACCCGTAAATCCCGACACCTATAATATTTAGTTAAATAAAAAACTTTTGCTTGTATTCACTTTGATTGTTTTTACATTTCGTCACCACCACGCTCATCATAAATATCGTCGTAGACCAAGCGTTGGGTAGAATTCTAAACGTCATCGCTAACACGTGTGTCATTGTGTTCAATCCTAGATGTCACAACTAATTTGTATACTTGCGGTGTTTGTGTCTAGGACAATAAAAACGAGATTAGATCACATACTAAATCGATACTAAGCATGATGGCTTCATAAGTGACCCCGAGAGCTAGCTTTACCAATTGACAAATATCTTGAAACCTTATAAACAAATAGTACATTATAAACAAATCTTATCTTCCAAAATATTCAACGATAGACCACTTTTAATACTCGAATCCGTGATCTTTAGGTCACAACGACGACATTTTAGTCGGTCCCAATTTGGATATATTATTTCTAAAAATTAAATAAAACTATTGATTATATACAATATTATTTAAATATATTTGGATGAGATAGGAGGTAGATAAATGGGTTTCGATTTTGTTATTTTTTAATTTGATTATATATATGTATATATTATTTTGTATTAGATTGTAGTTCAACTCAATTTTAATTAAAAAATTAATTTTAAAATATTTGTAGTTTCAATTCAAATTTTTATTATTTTTATATTATTTTGAATTAAGGTAATTTAAATTATGAACAAATTATATGCGCTCGATTTTTAAATAGGATTTTCTCGTAAACGGTTAAATATTATCCGGTTCATATTTATTTATCCAAACCGAAAACTCTATTCCCATAATCAATATGACAAAGAAAAATAACATAAAAATATCCAAACTTTTACAAATCCTATATAAATAATTAGAATTTTGAAATTTTTTCCAAATAAATACAAATTTCAGGTATTTTTGAAATAAAAATATATGATGTCATTAACGAATTTTGGATTTATTTAGGAATTTTTTTAAAAGTCTAGATATTTATATAGAATTTTAGAAAAGTTCAAGTATTTATAGAAAAATTTTATAGTTCAATTATTTATATGAGATTTTTATAAAAAATTAAGTATTTATATGCGATTTTTCTATATATTAATAATATTTGGGAATTGTTATTTTAATAAAAAAAATGTGGCCAATCACCATATTTAGTTAGGTTCACTTCATTTTCTTTTTTAATAATGGTAAATATTTTAATATGAACAAAAATAATCTAGAAAAAAGAAAGCTCTAATTAACTTATTTTAAAAAAGAAAAACACAACATAAAATAAGGGGAAAAAGTGATCGAGAAAGACCAAAATGTGCGGCAACAAACTTTTGCAGCTTTTGTCCATCATGTGTCCCCGATGCATGCGCATGCCCATTAAGGCATTTACTCTATTTTTATCAATCGAAACCCCAAATTGCTTCTCTCTCTCTCTCTCTCTCTCTCTCTCTCTCTCTCTCTCTCTCTCTCTCTCTGCTTTTGGTTGTTTTAGGGCAAAACCATGTTTCAGAGATCTGATATTGTTCTCATAGTTCTTATTTCATGTTCTCCCCTCTTTGGCTCGTCATCTGCTCTCAAGGTAAACAAACCTCGGCCTATGCTTTGGTTGTCAATCACCTGAATTAGTGTGCGTATGTGTACAAAAGCTGGAGATTAAATAGAGGCTCATTATGAAGATTTTATCAAGGAATTGAAATGGGTCGCTTAGAAAATCTCCATCAATATATAGAATTATTTTCTGTCTAAATTCTAATCATGGGGTTTTGGTAGAATCTTCTATGAGTGCTAGTACAAGTATTTCTTGAGGTTAGAGGATGCTTATCACATATTTACCAAGAAATCGAAATAGGTCACTTAGATAATTATCGTAAAATAAAATATAATCAATGTGTGGCTCTTGTAGAGTGGTTTCTTTCTTTTTCTCTTTTCATAATTTAAAAAATTCACTGGATCTTCGGCAAACTATATGTCCGAATAAGTTCATGTGAATGTCTTTCTTTGGAAACTAGTTGAGTCAAAAGAAAGCAACTAGAGGTGGCCCCGAATAACCGAATAAGAGTGGTTCGGTTCGGTTCGGTTATTTGCTTAATAACCGAACGGTTGAGGAAGTTGAATAACTGTTCGGGTTCGGTTCGGTTCGGTTCGGTTAATAACGGAATAACCGCGGTTAACCGAACGGTTATTAGAGTTTTTATAATATTTTAATTTTTACCTTTATTATTATTAGTGTTATTTTTTTGTAGTTCATTTGTACCTTATGTGGTTCACCTAATAAACCATAAAATTTAATATTTTTAACTTTTAACCTAATTATTGAATTTTTTGTAGATTTTTTTGTAATTTTTTCCAATGATTAATTATTTTATAGATCTATTTGGATAGATATTTTGAAGTTTGTATAGGATTAATATTTTTTTTTTTAATATATCATAACCGAATCGAACCGATCTAAAACTGAACCGAATAAATCGAAAATTTTAATCGTTTGGTTATAATTTTATTACGCAAAAACCGGACCAAAATGAACCAAACCGAATAAATCTATATAACCGTTTGGGTATGTTTTTTTATAACCGAACCCGAAATAACCGAACCGAAAACTGAACCGAATCCTGAAATGGCCACTCCTAAAAGCAACAATTTCATGAGATTAGTAGGTCATTCAACTATTCATCTCATCAAATATAAAAAAGTATCTAAAGAAATCCAAATTTTAGAAAATAACATTTTTTTTAATGAAAAACTGAATCCAATCTAAATATAAAAAAAAATGAACCAAATGGAATCCGAAATAAATACTATATATAAATATTTTTTACTAGACTATACAAATTTTAAAATAATCCAAGCAATTGGAAATTGAAAATACAATCATTAAGATTTCTCATAGGTTTATTTATATTTCAGGAAGGAGAAACATGTATAGCCAATAAAAACTGCGACGCGGGATTACTCTGCGAGACATGTCTTGCTAATGAAAACTTTCGTCCAAGATGCATCAGAATGCAACCTATTGATCCTTTCTCCAAGGTAATTTAATCATGTTTTTTTTTGGGTAACCGGATGTCGTGGGACGAGACCCAAACTAATTCTAAAGTCGAAAACAAACCGTGTGATTAGAATATGCGTTTTTCTCCCCAACTTGAGTCTTGAACTCGGGACGGGATAAATGCTTTGCCTCCCCATTTTACGGGTTGAGCTACCCAAATTGGGTAATTTAATCATGTTAAGCTTAAGGTTTTATTGTATTTGAATTTATTAATCGTGTTGACTTGGAATTCAATAATAAATAATCTAAACACGGAAGTCATGAATTAAATGACTTTGAATTAATAATGAATTAAATGACTTTGAATTGATAATAAATAAAACGAATGCGGAAATCATGAATTAAATGACTTTGTATTTTCAATCTCAGCTATTAAGTAAAAACAGATAATTATGTAATGATATATTTAAATTAGTCCATATACTTATCCGAAATGTCAATTAGGTCCGTAATATGATAAGATTAGATCATATGCCTAATTATACAATATGATCAATTTGATTTTAATTTTAGTCATTGTGATAATTAAAAATGCTCCAACTAATTATATTGCGTTTGGTTGATTACGTGATTTGCCATTCAACAAGTACTCTTGGTTAACAACGCACAACTCGTTTGCTCGTTTGGGTGCAAAATCAGCCACAGGTTCTGTTATTCTTGCTCCTACGAATCAACAAGATTCAGTCACAAGCCAACTTATTGTAAGCTCCCTTTGCTCGTCATCTCTATTCATCGATTCTTTTTACGATGTAGTGGGAGACTAGATTTCATAGAGTTCGATTCCCGACGATCCATAACCAATATGAACTCGAAGTTTACTTTGTTGAACCTCGTTCAAAATAATGTCGAGATGTGTTTGTGGCAGAACGAGCTAGTCTTGTAATTTTAGGACACCATTGTGAATTTTTGGGCCTCTATAATTCAACTCGGACCATAGTTCCTAACCTAGAACGGCCTGGCTAATCTATGGATGTCGAGGAAGCATCAAAATCTCAACATATATATATATATGTTCGTCGATTTTCTAATAGAGAAATATGTTTGGACAATTGTTTAATATTAAATAATCTAATAAATCTTGTTTATATCTCGTGATACACTATTTCAAACTTAAGGAGATGAAAAACAAATGTTTGATGTTGAAATTGTTAAACAAATAGTTGGGTTTTACTGTGATTGGCGGATCTGAAAAGTCTGGTATGGATACACGCGTGGTGCAGATGTACGGTGGTGTATAATATCGAGTAGTATGATGGTAATGTCAGCAGTGCATAAGATGTGGTAGATTATAGTAGTTAGGTTGGAGAAAAAAAAAAGAAGAAAAAAATGATGCAAATGCGTGAGACTAAAGTCAGAAATAAACATATGGCACAAATACGCGGGTCAACGATTGGTGTTTTCCAATCGAATGGACTAAAAGGCAGGTTTAGACATCATCATTGTTGTATAGGCTCCGATACGTAATAGAGAAATATGTTTGGAGAATCAAATCTAAATAGTACGTAATCTTTTCAAACTTCATCGTATTTTTTGTTACTTTCTAGTTTAATCTTTATGTTGGTGTTTATATGTATATAAAATGTTACCTTGGTTCGTTTGCAGAATGGTGTTAGAGGCTTTATGCTGGATATGTACGATTTCCGAAACGATGTATGGTTGTGCCATTCGTACGGAGGAAATTGCTACGATTTCACTGCCTTTGTAAGTATTTCATGTTTCTTTCACCTGAATATATACCAATGTATATGGTGAAACAACATATCAAGCCTCTGAATGTTTAATATATGTATGATGCATATATATATATATATATATATATATAAGTGTTGATGTGCATAGAAAGTATAACTTCATTGTCACAAGAACATTCTAATAATTACTCGAACTTTCGATTGTCTTTTTCGGACAGCAACCTGCGATAAACATTCTGAGAGAATTCCAAGTATTTCTAGAGCAGAACACGGAGGAGATCGTGACGATCATCATCGAAGATTATGTGAAATCGCACAACGGTCTCACGAGATTGTTCAACGAAGCTGGGCTAAGGAAGTTCATGTTTCCGGTGACAAGAATGCCATTGAACGGCGAAGATTGGCCAACGGTCGATGACATGATTCGCCGAAACCAAAGGCTAGTGGTTTTTACATCAGATTCTCGTAAGGAATCCACGGAAGGAATCGCATTTCAATGGAAATATATGGTCGAGAATCATTGTGAGTCTTACTACTTTCCCTTCAATTATATATAGTGAGTATATACATATATAGAGCTGGACCTAGATACCCAAGTTTCAGATATCGCAGTTATCCATCCCGTGAGTATCCAAAATTCGGATATCTTACCCGACACTTACGTAACCGAGATCGAGTAGTTCGACCAGTATACCTGAAAATCTAAAGCCGAGATTGGTTGGATAGACGGGAAAACTCCAACCCCAAACCTCATATGCCTTACATGAATCAAAACATGTAAATTATATATTGTAGATGGAAACGAGGGGATGAGGCCTGGAGTGTGCACAAACAGGCCACAGTCACTACCAATGAACACAAAAACAAAATCGCTTGTTCTTGTCAACCATTTCCCGGACGCTCCAGACTTGCTCACAGCTTGCAAAGACAACTCGGCTTCTCTCATGGACACTGTCAATACATGCTTTGAAGCCTCCGCACAACGTTGGCCTAACTTCATAGCCGTCGATTTTTACAAGGTAATACCGTTTTTAAGAATCCGATTGCTATATATATCATCCCTTTCGTCTTCGGATCTAGAGGCCGAGTCCAGGAAAAAATCGTCGTCGCATCCTTAACTACATTGAGTTTGAATATTCAAAATATGAAAGTTCGATAGCGTTAATCTTTGGCTAAACATTGGCTCATTCATGAATGTTGCAGAGAAGTGATGGAGGAGGAGCGCCACAAGCAGTGGATGTTGCAAATGGTCATCTTGTATGTGGCTGTAACAATATTGTTGCGTGCAAGGTCAAACTCAATATGATTTATAATATTAATATTATATGTGAATACCTAAATTATCTATATTCTCAAACATATAATTCTGATATAACCTATTTTTTGAATTTTTATTACTCAAATTTAAGTGAAAAATAGCGAAATGATATATATATGAATAAATAACAGTTTTTATTATAATTTATTTGTTTAAAAATGAATAATAAATAAAAATGATAATTTTGCAGGAGAACATGACAAAGGGAACATGTTGGAAACAAGAGGCAACACAACAAAGTGCACTTGTCACGATTGCAAAACTAACTGCGGAAGCTTCAGATAGCTTTGTGTCTACCAAACTTTGGATCTCAGTGTTTGTTGTACCTTTTGTTACACTTCTTAACTTAGTTTGAATCTCTCGTTCTCCGTATACATACGATTCCACAAACATACATACGTGGTCGTTGATGCCGCACACCGAATCTTATATTTATAACCTGACTGCACCACTAAACGACAAATATATAATCGTATTGAGATTGATCACGATGACGAGGATGTGTCAATCTATCCTAAGGCTAGATCGTGAGTGTGGTAAAAATGTGAATTCTTGAATATGAATGATGATGTAAATATAACTAACAAATCAACGAATGGGTAAGATTAACGAGGTGACAATCAATGATTTCGAGCGTTGTAGATAAACAACTTTATGGCTTTGAGAAATATTCAATTGATCTTTCAGAGTGATTTACATGAGGTTATATACAGAATTGAGGAAATATAGTAACAACCAAATCAAGTGACAAAATTAGTATCCCTGTATTATAGACTTATCAGTGGACTCGGAATCCCTCTATATGAGATGAGGGAATATTACTCAAATAACCCATTTGGGTCGCAGCAATTTCAGTGTACACCACCGAAAAAAAAAATTCAATTTTAACCCACTTTTCGGATGGAAAAGTCCGAAATACCCTTTTCGTTTTATTTTTTACGACCTTATTACGACTAATATATAACTGATATACCACTAAAATAAGACAGATGATTTTTTTGCCACCTTTTTTAGAATCAATTGTAACTATATTTAGAATTAATTACGAAGTCGTAATAACGAAGTTGTTTTCGGATGGATAAAAATCGCGTATTTATTAAGGGTAATTTCGTCTTTTCACACACAAAAAAAAGTGTTATGTTTTTTCTGGTGTACACGTGAAATAGGTGCGACCCATCTGGGTGATTTGAGTAAAATTCCCATGAGATGATGATTTAAAATGAGATGATTCCAACAATGTTTGTTTCCGAATTGGAGATTTCAAACTCTATAGACAAGGTCTTTCTCTTTCGAGATTATACCCGCTATCTAGAAGATCAAACTACTCATCTCCCGATGATCTAGATGACTCCTAAATGTATTAAAATTCTCTATCACAAGTTAAACCATCTCCTGATATGAGTAACTAATCTATTTGATATTTAGGTTCGAGCATCATTCTCATATCCTATATCAATGTTGCTCTAAGATCACTTATCAAAGTTTTATCAAGATTAAAAGCATGAATAACAAAATATCAAACCAATGGAAACAAACATATATAGAAGTATCATGAATTAAATACAAACATACATATAATGGGGATCCCTCGCCCATAACAAAAGTTTTATTCCATTATATATCAAGACTGAAAAACAAAAAATAACAAAGTAGATACACTTCGTCAGAAACATAGTTCGTCAGAAATACAGTTCAGAATTTGAAACCGCGCAAATGCACTATGTGATTGTGTGCGGCAGAACAATGGTAAAGAAACTTGAGAATCAGACCGACGTTGTTTACCTGTACCAAGGAGGTGATATGGTGTGCTTTAAACGGCTTAAACTTGAGTTTGATGAATGTAACCACGATGTTTAGTCACTACGAGGGGTAAAGGTTAACGAGTGAGTTGGTACTAGGACCCGTTGTTGATGATGTATAGGTAAATGTCTAGAGGGATAAAGTGAGTTTCGAATCCGACGTTGTTTACCAGATTCTGATGAAAGGAGGTATAATGATAGTTTTTGTGATGATTATGTGATTATTATATGATGTGTAATTGAGTATTCCTCGCGTATGTGGAATATGCTTGAATGGTTATGCGATGACTACTTGTGATTCATGGCGATTATTTCTCATGTTGTTTGAGATACATTTCGATATGCACATGCTAATATGATTATTTTTAGAGTGGTCGATACTCAGGACCTAGGAATTGACCGAATTAATCCTTCGGTGTTTCGACTTCAGGACATTGATTGTGATTGTTTTTTTGTGAATGATGAATTTTATAAATATGTTAAGATGGAATTCATCTTTCATTTTTTGTTAGTCTTAAAACCCGATTTATGTAAATCAAACAATATGTATTTCTTTTAATCAGATAAGATGGTTTATTCTATGTCTTATGTTCGACATATGATATTGTATTACAAAAAGATCATCTCACCTGAACCGTCAGGGCTTTCGTTAGATCATATGCTAACTCTATTCGAGATAGGTAGTCATAATTTCTTGTTAGGGACCACCTATGACTTGTATAACCAAAATAGAGATTCCAGGCTATACTAATATATCAGATGAACCTACAGGGTTACACACACAGGGAAGGACAAATGCCTGAGAAAAGACGAGAAAATCCTGGAGACACAAAGGCCAGACCGACCGGTCCAATGATCTGGACCAATTGGTCCAGACATGGCTAGACCAACCAGTCTAGACTTATCCAGACCGAATGACCCAATTATGGCCTCGATCTAGAAAAATGTACCATATCGATCGGTCCATGCATCAGGATCTCTATTCTCACTCTAATTAGAGTTTTTTGGGACTATAAATCAGGGGGTTTCGACCCCTAGCGTTAATCTACACCTCCACGACCTTTAGATCAGATCTAAGAGGTCTAAAACCCGTTTTTTGTTCTCATTCACTGAGTTCAACTATAAGATATAGATGACATTCATCTATGGTGCGACCACACACTTTCACAGTATCTCACTCACTCAAGGGGCCCAACGATATCTCTCTCATGACGAGAGGTACAAATCTCATATTGTCTATCTACTATGTGATGGTTGTGATGCTCTATGATGCTCGTACGATATGAGAATCTATATATTATGATGAATTCATTGGATGAATACATTGTTTGTTCATTATTTATTTTGCATATTTGATAAATAATGACATCCATGGATCATTATGAACGATTCTAAATTCCTTAGTCGCTCTTATATTATGGGAGCAATGATGAATTGAGACTAACATGAGGCGTGATGGATGATCATTGTGATGATCATGTGTATTGGATACGGATCACGGTTATGGGTACTTGTTTAGAACAAATGACTAGATGACTCGCATGAGATTGTCGATTAGATGTAATCCATGACTTGAATCTCACATGATGGTTCACTTTGGATCCTCAGTCCTGAGATATCTATTGTATCCAACATGAGGAGTAATGTACTTTGACTGCGTTAAACGTCGTCTCTAACCGGATGATTATAAAGGCGTGACTCGGGTACATTACGAATCATGTAGTGGATAATAAATAGTCAAGATGGAACTTTGTCCCTCTCGAAAGAGAGAGATATCGTTGGGCCCGTCGTAGAAGTGAAACTGTGGAAATGTATGGTCGCACTATAGATGAATGTCATCTATCTCTTAAAATCTACTCGAGATATGAAAAAGCAATCGAACTGCGTTTCGATTTATGATATCGAGAGACAAAGAGGATCATTTGTGACAACCCAGATACCGTAAGAAGGCGGAGAGTGATCGTCGGTGCAGAGGCACGGACAAGGGACGACTCCTGACGAGTTTTTTGGTAGAGGTACAGGGATGAATCGAACACACCGGAATGAGAGAGATCCGAGGGCCATATAGGTATGAGACTCTACGGTCTAAGATAACATAAAAGAATTAGTTGGCTACTCATAGCAACAAGGTGCATCTATCTTTTTGGTTGACTATCCTGAGAGAACTCCAAGCGTGCTGGCTTTGGAGTAATCTCAGGATGGGTGACTTACTGGGAAGTGTCTTGATATACATGCGAGTGAGGACAAAACACGTTGGAAGGTCTCGTGTTGCTGTGTGAGGGCAGTTTCGACAATTCATAATGACCGCAGGTTGTTATAGATGGTATCAGAGCCGGTACTCTCCCAGTACGGTGTGGTTCGAGGACGAACAAGGCGGAAGCTGGTGGGCCTATGACAGCCCAGACACCGTAGGAGGGCGGGGAGTGATCGCCGGTGCAGAGGTACAAACAAGTGGCGGCTCCTGACGAGCTTCTGGGTAAGGGGTACAAGGATGAATCGAACAAACTGGAATGAGAGAGATCCGAGGGTCATATAGGTATGGGACTCTACGGTCTAAGATAACATAAAAGAATTAGTTGGGCTACTCATAGCAACAAGGTGCACCTACCTTTTTGGTTGACTATTGATAACTCCTATTCTTCTCTATATTTTGATGAGAGTTTGTCTAGATTTTATAGGATAATCACATGCATTCATAGGCATTATAGGCGTGTTAGGACACAAAACCCGGTTGTGCTCTAGTTTTGCAGAGTTACAGGTTTCGGAGATGATTGGACTCTAAAAGGAGCTATTTGGAGCGTTAAAGGAGAAGTCAGGATGAGGTACTCATGTTGTGATATCAATATCTTTCTCCACAGAGGTCCAAATCATGCGAAACTTATACCATTGGAAAGAGCACTTCAAGAGCTTCGCGTAGACACCAAAATCGCGTAAATCCGACACCGGAACAGAAAGATATGAGCGAAATCGCGAAGACCAGAAAATTGCTAGTGCAGGGCCGGATCCAACTGGATCCGGTCCGAATCAAGACAGCTGAGCTCAGGCCCAGGAATCTAGATCCGGTCGGATCCACCTGGAATAGGTCCGGATCCAGTCAAAAACCCTATTTCGCGATTTTCAGCATCAGAATGGGAATATGACTATTGGGAGCCGCCCTAGGGTTATAAAAAAGCCCTAGCCACGTCCTAGAACATCAGAGAACCTTAGAGAACACCTAGATACATATTTTCGGAGAGCTTTTGGGGAGAGAAGAATAGAAGTTCACGGGATTTCGGGAAGAAGAATGAATATTCGATCGTGGAGACTACACATCTACATGAGCTTTTCTCTCCTTTCTTTTATCTCCTTTTCTCTGTTCTTTTTATTGTTTTCCATGAACCGTGAGTAGATCCACGACTATGGGTTAGGGATTCGTTTGTGTTTTGGGTATGTTTGAACCCTAACTTGGATTTCGGTTTTGATTTGTTTCGGTTCTATTGATTTGCACTTTTATTGGATTGATGTTTGCTAACCCCTTGGTCAATTATCTTAGATTCTAAACTACATAGAGATATGAGTTGGTTTCGGATCAAAATCTATAGGATAGATCGTATTATTCACATAGAGATATGGCTTAAT